CTCCACCCCCCACCCCAGCTTATTTAAATGATCGTTCCCATTTTGACCGGTAACCCTGATCATCAATCTCTCTAAATACTCCATTATCATGACAGCTAATGTTACTAGGGACAGAGTCATTACTCAAGCCTGCAGAGCGCATTTCTGCCCAACCGATCCTTATCTCTGCACCTTCGCGCTATCACACTATTCCAGAATCCCATTGTAGCGCTCCCTCTATCTGCCCCTCCTTCAGCGGACTGTCTTGAGCTAGGAAACACTAATCTCATTACTGGGTTAATTTAGAGGACAATGTCAGCTACAGGGGGAGAAAGAGGAGGAGGAGGGGGGCTTTGGGACACTTTAATACTTCCCTCCACTGGATGGTACTTGGTTTAGGGAATATGATCCAAGTATATTGATCCTCTGGGACTAAAGATTGGATTTAAGTTGTAAAGTGATGATGACAGACTGGATTATTCACCAAATCACCACCATGACTGGTGTTAAATGGTGTAATCTAGGGAATAAGTACCTAAATTGTAGAGACCATGTGGGGATTATCTGGATTTCTACTGTAAATGCTCCTAACACATTAATAAAGACACTTATGGAACAAAAAGCCAGGGCAACATTTCACACAACACAAGTGAAACACAACTAGGTTTGTGAAAAACAAGATAATTCTTGATTTAGAATGACTTTTAGATCACAGACAAACATATTATAACACATTTATCAAGGAACTTGATTGTTTTTGCCCATCAAATATCCTGAAGTTCTTCAGGAAGACTGTAGATCTTAAATATTTTGTATATATAATTTGTCCTAAAAGAATTTATCATTAAGTCCAAGATAAAATTTTGCAATGCACCTGCATTACAGAAATAGTCCATATTAAATATTCCAGAATGTACAAGTTATTGATTCAGCCATCAGTTTATACACAGAGAAATAAGTAAGTAAATAAATAAATAAACAAATAAAATTTGGTGCAGGATTTGAAACAATTTCCACTCAGAAATTGCTACTCAATTTCACAAAGAAACGGTGAAATGAGAAACATACTGATTAAACATAACATTTTTTTAGACAGACTGAAAGTAGTATGTTTTTGTAAAAAAAAAATACTACAAAAAAATCTGTTTTATTTACAACTTACATTACTTTTTTAAAAAGGTGCTTCCATAAATAATTAAGTAAACACTTTTATGCAATTAGACATCTGTGAAAAGAAAAACTGGTATGGAAACAGTTTTCACTTTGAATTTGCTAGTAAATTTCACAAACAATTACAAAAAAAACAGCAGGCAACACATGGAATTAAACATGAAATTCTGAAGTAGAAAAACTGAAATAGTGTTTTATTGTAAAACGTACTCTAATCATCTTTGTTTTAATTACTTCTTTGAAAAATAATTTTTTACAGTGCACAACACTGGTTTACTCTCTAAACTCTATCGAGTTGTCTCTATCATGATAAATTGCTTGTGATTTTTCTCATTTTTTGTCACTGTAAACTGCTTAATCATTCAATGTAAAAGTAAATAATACTTTTCCAGTCTGTGGAGAGCTCTCCATTGTACATGCATTGCTATCAAAGTGTTTATTTTATTCCTTTAATATTGCTTTTCTATGTATGTATTTAGTATTCAATTAAAATTTAAATTGAGATACTTCATTCTCGCCTCTATAAAATCGAATAAAGCATCATGCACGTCAGAAAACCACCTCTGTAAAACCCATACACACTCAGGCAGGCGGCACGTAGGAGGCCTCGGCCCAACAGCGGCCCAGCGATCTATAAAATTAAACTTCATTTTCCTTTCATCCTCCTGCCTGCTTCGACTCCTCAGACTTACATAATAACAATAACCATAATCAAAAAAATCTCTCAGAGACACCACATGTGGTGAACACATCTCAACTCCAACTAATAAAACTATATTCCTGCTTCTGAATGAAATGGAAGTGCCCTCAGAGGTGATACATGAGGTAATTTTAATGGGCAGATAGGTCGTAAAGGAAGCAGATAGGGCAGGCTGGAGTCCATTTGTATGTTTAGCGTGCGTGTGAGACACAGTGCCGGGATGGAAGTAGGGGAGATTGGAAGTCGACTGGGTGGAGGTAAATAACAGGCCTTTAGGAACGTGACTGCAGCCTGTAAATACATTGAAGTCAACCACTGAGACAAATAAAAAGAGGACTAGTTTGGGGATGAGACTGCAGGGTAATAATAGAGCTCGCTGGCCTGGGTTTGGTGTGAGAGTGTTTCTCAGGCCAGTTGACAAAACTGCCACTTCCCCTTTTAGGCCAATTCTGCATTGTCACTGAAAATTTTACATTAATTGATCTTGTACATTCATTTTTATGGCTTATGTTTGGTTTTCTATGATGCATTCCATATTGTTTTTTGCCAATTCTGCTGATGTGTCAACAACATGATGTTGTATAGATGGCTAACATATACCAAACTTGCCAAAACTGTAAAATTTACTTCTGATAGACTTGTAAGCATAATTAAGAATGTTTTGAAGACTACAAACCATGCAGAAAAAAAAATCCTAGTTGTCGAATGCTGCATTGGCAAAAACATGTACTTCCATTTTTATGACTTTTTTGTGTTTTGTTTCCTGTGATGTATTCCACATTGCTGCTGCAAATTCCGCTGATGTATCACCAATATAATGTTATCTAGTTGGCTAACATAGATCAAACATGTTGAAATTGTAAAATTGACTAGAGACAGTCATGAAAGCATCATTAAGAATGTGCTGAAAACTTCAAACCATCGGTTTCAACAAAAATCAGTAATTGCATCATATGCCACAGTTTCCAGCAATTTTCTATTAATTTATTGACTTACGTTATGTTGCAAAATGTTTTGGGGGGAAAAAATAAAATTAGATAAATAAATAATTAATAAATATAAAATGTATTATAAAATTGTGAAGAAAACGAACATTTAATTAAAAAATTAAAAATAAAATATTTCACGCAAATATAAAAATATGATGCTAAAAATGTGTTTTATTGTAGTCGGGCCAAAAAAAACTCTTATTGTTGATCCCAGCAAACACTGGCGAAACTTACAGAGAGGAAGCTGGATAGTTTGATAAGAAGATGGGAAGAAGTGTCTCAAAGTGGATGAAGTTTGGAAAAAAATAAAGCAGAGAACACTTCGGAAGCCATAAAAGGACTTAACATTGACAGAGGAGATGTTCAGGAAACACCAAAGAGGAACACAAGATGGCAAGATGATTTTATTTTCCAAAAGGGAGAAATAATGTTTTAATAAAAACAAGTAAATGTATGCCAAGAGTAGGCCTGTCACGATAACAACTTTTTGTTGTGCGATATATTGCCCCAGAAATAATTGCAATAAGCGATATTATTGTCATTTTAAAGACCATTTCATGCCACTGAATATATAATCATAATGTAACAGCATAATAATGCAAGAAGGCCTACACACTTCCAAATGACAACAAACTTTTAATTTTAAGAATATTTAG